CGAACAGTCCGAGTTTTTTCCCGAGCGGTGTGCGCGAACGCTTGATTGCCACCTTATTGCCAAAAAAAAAAACCATGAAGAAAAAAGAAAAAAAGAATTTGAATTCAATGTATATATATTATAGGAACTGGCTCGTAACCTCTTTAAATGATAATCGCTGTAAGCAAAGAAACAAACAAACAAAACAACAAAAAAATAATAATAATGAGCGCGAATTTTTTCTGGTTGAGAAAGAAACAAAACGATGTGTAATCTCTATCGTACACTGTGTTTAGGTAGCGCGTTAACGTCGCTTACGTCGTCATCATTTCATTATTTAACACACACACACACATACAGATACACAATCATGGCGATCATCTGCTTCTTCAGGTTTTCAATGAATTTCGAAATTCAAGCAGAAAGATCGCCAAGCTTTCAGATTTCGTGAAGAGCATTAGGTGTGTGAAGAACCGAAAGTTTCCTTTTCAATGCGTAACAACGAACGAAAGAGAATGATTGTGCATCGTTGTATCGCATTAAAGGAACACGTAGGATTATCTTCATTGCGTTCACGATCCAAAGCGTTCTCGCGAATAATAAGGAAATTTTCACGCAGAGAATCTCTGATTTACAGACACACATACACACATTAGTAATTTGCGTGCACAATCTGTATTTATCGTAAGACGAATTTCCGCGACGTGAGGCATGCTGCGTTACACGTTTAGTAGAAGAGAAAGAAGAGAACTGCATATCTCGAGAGATTTTCGACGAGTAAGACGCGTAACGGAAGTTTCTAATCGTCGGAAATACGATAGCGGTGAGACACACCATATATGTTACACACTCGTTCGTGCCTATTGTCAACCATGCTTGGACGATTCAAGTCGCTATTCTTTACTTAATGATTGAATTAATTAATTCAAGTACTCTGTTCGTTTATGAATTCAATTGTCACGCGCCATTATCGTTGTACATTACCGTCGTTAGTCTTAACGATTTCGACTTCACCGAACGATCTATTTTTCACATCACGCGACGAAACTCTATGCATCGAAGAGCGATTTTTTTTTTTTTTTTTTT